GATGGCGAACCTTTCAGAGCTTTCCATGAAACAAATAGCCCGGTGTGGCACGTGCACCATAGGTTTGCCACCACTGGGCCCTATGTGCTCAAAAACTGATGAATGAATGACAAAAATACAGTATATAGACACAGTGCAGTAGTAGGCATTCAATCAAAAAGAAGAACAAAATTTTGTCACTTGCAAAAAAATTAATCATGTTTAACCAAATTAGCAAGACTCAGACAAATATATTGTTTTTTCTCATATGTGAAAGTTATGTATATACACATATGGAGAGAGAGGGAGAGAGAGACAGAGAGAGAGAGAGAGAGAGAGAAAGACAGAAAGAATAAACTAGCAAGGACACTAGTAGAAAAGAGTGGAGGACTTAGAGGAGCAGAGGGAAGGACGTGATGGAGAAGGTACAAGTGTGGGTGTGCATGTGTGAATACACCCACGTGAAATGTATGGTTTTGTGTATTTGCTATGTGCTAATAAGAACAAAGAAAAGGAGAAAGTACAATTTTCAATTTTCCCATTGAAAAACATTAAACTAGAATATAACAGGCATAGTAGGATATCTACGGGAGATATTGCAAGAATAGGAAAATAAACTCTGCGTTTATAACCAAGCAGATCTAAGCTGGCACTCACAGCCTCGAGACAAACTGTAGCTGGTGGTTAAGTAACAGGATTTGTTCTGCTCTTTGCCTCACACAGTTCACCATAAATTCGACTGCAGACTGAGGTGACTGCTACTATATTCCCATTTTCAAAAAATGAAGAACTAGAGCTCTCCTACTATAATAACAGAGGGATATTTTGGAACATGTTGCCCAGGGAAGCGAGACTACTACATTTCCGCAGGAACTGGGACATAGGAATGAGGTTACTGCAGGATTGCATTATGAAAAAGGGCTGAGGGTCCTCAAGAACTATTCCTCAGGTGTAAAACTGGCGATTACATCATTCAGTTTCAAAAAGATTTCCGTACAGGTCAAAGGGGCAAGGAAAAATAAAAATTACCCAAATTTCTTTTAAAAGTGTTCAAAAAATGAAGAAAGTATAAATGTTTCCTTGCAACAAGAGGAATTTTTAATTCTTATTCTTATATTTATACTTTCATGTGTAAATGGATAACTTACTCAGGTACTGTACCTAGATTTTCTTATTTAAATCTGGCAACAAACATATTACTTATCTAAAAGAGCTATCTTAAAAAATATTTTTTGGCACCAGTGTATTTAGCAATAATAGGAACCAAGTGTACCCCCTATGTAATAAAGATCAAATTTTGAGAGTACAGGATTGGTCTATGAAAAACAGGGATTCAAGGGTTTTGAGCCCCATTTTTTCTAAATGGTCATGAAGTAAACCGCGTCTACTTATGTCAAAGGACCTAGACAGCCAGTGTGCATGCTTAGAGCAGTGTGGCTGTCCTCCTGCTCAGGCGTGGTTGGTACTTTTGCGGAAGGCAGAATCCCCAGCAATGAGCATCATTTTTATGTCCCTGTGCCTAAAGAAAGCCTGAAAGGAACAGGAGTGACTTATTGTGTGCCTCAGAAATTGCTTATTTTTTTGCTCCATATCCTACTGTTAAAATAATTATGCCCAATTAAGCCTGAGATAGCTCCTGAGCCAAACAGTCACCTTCACTGTGAAGGGCGAGGGAAAGTTGTACATCAGGGACCGAGATGCTCTGAGGGTTTCCTCTTACCTGACAGGAGGATAACTGTCGCAGTAGAAGGCTTGATGTTATTTCACAGTAGCCATGAGCTGTGCAATCCTGAGGGTACAAATAAGACCCGGGGAGCCAGGCCTCTCTGAAAGGACCAGCCCAGAACTCATCGGCACCACATCTACCAAAGTGAGTGGACTTCTCAATTCTTTCATTTAATCAGATGTGCCCATTACTCCTTCATGGCAGTTTGGGGTACTTCTTCAGTAGGGGGAATGTTACAGGCAGCTAAGTTAGATAGAAGTACTGTAGGCAGTCAGATAGGGCTAGGTCCTCAAAGGAACCAGTGCAAAAGATGAGATACCTTGCAACTGTAGGGGAGACAGGCACCTGCCCTGTGGGCCAGACCTCAAGACAAAAGATAGAACAAAGGCACCAACATCCTTCCTAAGGATAAACTTGTCTACAACTATCCAGCGAGGCAGAGGGGCTGGGAAGCTGAGAAACTTCTCTTGTCTCTGATCTTTAAAAAGCAAGGGCCCCAGGACAGAATGAGGAGGAGGCCAGTTCACAGAGAGTAGATTTCAAAAATGTTTAAGCCTCTGTCTCCCTGTGTAGATTGGATCTCATTAGGGAGCTCTGACTTTGGTCAGGAATCCTTCTTGCCCTTGTAAGGAGTTAGAAAGATACAGGACTCTTTTGGGTTTCTAGAAAAGTTTTGTTTTCTTCCATCTCCAATTTTACTTGAAACTTGACTCTGTCAATATCATTTCCTGTTTTAAAATTTGAACATTTCATTTCCGGTGCTCTTTTTGCATTTCAAAATGGGCCAAGTTTGTATTTTTTGTTTTATAAATTACCTAATTGCATTTCTGTTTCATTTTAGATTTTCCTTTCTGCATCCATGCATACATTCTCTACATGCAAACATATGATATTATATTATACTTGTTTTTTATTGATTTATTTTTATTTTTTGAGACAGGATCTTGCGATGGATTTCAGGCTGGCCTGGACTCACTATGTAGCCTAGGTTGGCCTCGAACTTGCAGCAATCCTTCTGCCTCAGCCTGCCCAGTGCTGGGATTACAGGCATGTGCCACCATGCCTGGCATTATATTTCTAAGTTAATTTATTCTATACCTGTTTGTTAGGAGAACTATTAACAATGATTGAGAAGAAAAACTATAGTTCCTCTTTTAAGAATACTGCAACAAAAATAACTCATTTTAATTATATCCTAGTGCTTTGGAGTAAGGCACAATAATCTCATCTTTTATGGGAAAATGGGTGGGAGATAGATGCTCTTTTCTGCTTAAACTGTTTGGGGTCAGATCCAGGTGGCCATTTAACGTCTATCTAAATGCAAAGACTGCATTTTAAAGCAGTTACAAAAAGTTTCCCAAACAGTCTGGAAGATGACTCCCTTCTCCCTTTTCTGACATTTTGACTCCAGGAGCAAGAAAGAGTTTTTTAGTGGGTGTCTCAGAACTGCTCCTAAATATCTTTCAGAGCTCTGGAACTTGGGGACAGAAAAAGAAACTGGAAAAAAGGACGCCCTGGATCTAACACACACAGAAAAAAAGCAAACAGGAAAGGTTTTAAGGTCCATCAGGTTACTGTGATGGATGGAGTGCGGCGATTGCTAACAAATACATTTTCTGACTGAACACTTGATTACCGTTCTGGACTCAGCCCAGGCTGCTTGTAGCCTTTTGCAGTGTGGTGTGCCGTCAGCCTGGTGTCTTTTATCCATGCTGCACCATGACAGACAATAGTCCCCCTTTGCCAGGGGAGGATTGGAGGCAACAACTGATCTTCCTCCAGGCCTGAGGTCAGCAGGTGCCAAGTCTGGCTCCAAGTCCTGGTTTATGCAGTTCATGTCATTGGAGACCTCAGGTCAATGAATCTTAAGCAATCCTTTAATATTCTTCAGGAAACAGGGAGTGGGCTTTACAGAATGGTAGTCCATGTACTGTGTACCAAATGTATGCAAATTCTATGGATTGAGTCAAACAACAAGATTTATTTTACTCTGGAGAAAATGTTCATACTTTGACATAAATTCCTAGATGAGAAATTGGAGCTCTCAAATGTGAACACCAGCACATTCCTATAGTTGACTAAGTTGGATAAAAGACACAGGTAAAACAGCCTGCGAATTTCAGTAAAATGTTATTTTTCCTGTCCTACTATGAAATCCTGACCCCCTATTGGAGTGATCTCTTTTTTAATGCCAGTACTGTCTCAACCAACTTTGCTAAAAACAGCCAATTTTGGGGTGTCCTAATTCTTAAAATACCATCGTCTAAGGACAGCACATAACACCAATTAACCCCCTTCTCCTGGTCCTCTTTGGTAAATGTCAGCATGCTGAGAATTGGTCACAGTTCCATCTGAGGCCCTGAAGTCTCCGTGGGAACTCAGAATTCTGATCAGGTCTGGTAGAAAACTATTCCATGGTTTCTCTAGGACATCGTTCCTGTTATTGCCAGTTGTTCATTTACCTTTTTTGTAGGGAGGAGATTTCTTCCTGATGGATTTTACTCGACTCAACTTTACTTTTTGGATGCTATGTAAGAAGTTACACATTTTGACTTGGTAATGAGGACTACAAAGAACATTGAATATTTACAGACAGTGAAGTCATAGAATCAGTTTGGGGTATAGGCAAAAGGAAACATTCGTGTATGTGCATAAAATATGTAGAATTTAGAAGCCAAAAAGTAAAATTAGAAAAACCTGGAAGTTGACACGCTCTTCAAATTAGAGGCAAAAGGGAATGTTGACCAAAATAAGACATACAAAAGAAGAGAGAACGTGAACACATCTGACTCTTGGTAAAGATGCTGAAGAAACAGGGTTTAAAAGTGTCTTACAGGGGTGAAGGGGATGCAAACAAGCTAAGCAGGAGACTCGAGACTTTGGAATTGGATCATGGGTGCATGACAGAATGAAAACAGTGAAAAATTCTGGCTGGGGAATTTTGGCCTCAATTTACCTCTAAGGAAACTGAATCTAAGTGTGATATATAAGGATTTGAACAAGTAGATTGATTTTTTAGTATGGAGGGAAATACAATATCTGGGTTGAAAACTATGATTTCTGCATACTATTTTTCAAGTTGACATTTGAGACTGCATAGAAGAATACACAAGCAGTAGGTGGAATATATCCTTTTTGCAAAAAAGTACACTCTTACATGTATCATGACTATCCCTTATACTCCAGAAAATTGGTATGCTATGAAAAAATTTGTGCAGAGACATGTGATCATTACTGATGCTTTCTTCAGAAAGGTGTTCTCTGAATCCAACATTTCCTGTCAGTGATGTAAGAGATGATCTTGCACCTTGTCAAGGGAATAGTCCTAGCCTTTCTGACTGGACTTGGAGCTGCAGGGAACATCGTTGTTTTTGTCAGTCATATACTCATGTTTGGGGGCATGGAGAAGAAAGCTATACATCTTATTCTCATCCACTTGGCCTTCACAAATATCATAATGCTTCTTTCTAAGGGAGTGCCAAGGACAATCACAGCTTTTGGCATGAGAAACTTCCTAGATGACATAGGCTGCAAGATGGTGTGCTACCTGGAGCGGGTGGCCCGGGGCCTCTCTGTCTGCACTAGCAGTCTCCTCACTGTGGTGCAGGCCATCAGTATGAGTCCCAGACACTCCAGGTGGAGGAGGCTCCAGCCCAGGTCTGCGTGGTTAATTCTTCCTTTGTTTCCCTTCCTGTGGATATTCAGTTTTTCAACAAATGTCAACTTACCCCTCTACATTACAAGTGCTAGTGTGAACACATCGCAGATTAGCAAGAGTGACTACTATTGTTATTTTCAGCCAGAAAGTCAGAAGGTAAGATGGATCATTCTCAGTAGCATGGTCTTTTGGGATGCTGTGTCTCAGTGTATCACGTGTGGAGCCAGTGCCTACATAGTGTTTCTTCTCCATAAGCACCACCGGCGTGTTCTCCGCCTGCAGAGGTCCAAGTTCCTCTACAAAACTCCCCCCGAGATCAAAGCTGCCCAAAGTGTTCTCCTTCTGATGCTTTGTTTCCTCTTCTTTTATTGGGCAGATTGTGTTTTTTCTCTGCTTGTGAATTGTTTCTTGGAGAACAATCCTATATTAAATATTCGAGAGTTTCTTACCCTTGGTTATGCGATTCTCAGCCCCCTTGTGCTGATTCACAGAGACGGACATGCAGTTGACTGCTGGTCCACTCAATGGGAGAGAGGGACTTTCAGAAAATATTTATTCATTCTATTCTTTCAATAAATAAGTTTGAAATAATTATTACTTTTGTCGTGCTCTACGTTATAAAAAATCCAGTGAAAGTTTCAGAAAAATATTGTTATATTGTCATACAATAAACCTGGTGACCTTCCTCAGCTGGCACAGAACTCACGGGAAGAGGACATGGTGTCTTCTCATTCCGAAGCCAGCATCCATTCAGGAAGTGGTGAAGTCTTCCCGTTAGACAGTTCTTATGCCACCACTGCTGGTCAGAAGAAGGAGAAATGGTGCAATCAGTCCTTGCCTATTAACCTTTAACCCAAGAATGTCATTGTAGGATCCAGTTTTGCAGATATATGTGTTCATGTAAGACACACAAAATGAAAAATAACTACTGCAGTGCTGCTTTAAAGACAAACCTAAATATTCAGTAAAATGGCCATTTTGCTTGTTTTTTTTTAAGTTAAATTTCTTTTTTTTTAACTTTCAGTAGTGTTTGCAGTACATAGCAGTTGCAATCACTGCAGAGTGTTGGTAAGCGTACATAAGGTGTTTTGATCCTCTTCTTCTCCGTTCCTCCAGCCTCTTTTGTTTTTCCAGCATCAGATTCATTTGTTTATAAGAACTTACAAAGTTAATTATCATATACACAGATAAAAACAGACAAATGGGCCAAGAACATATAAAACATGTAAGACAACTGTGTGAAGTCAAAGTGCACTTTCAGAATGGAGCACAGTAACATGTTCACTTTTTCCATGTTATGACATTTGGAAGAACACGAAGCCCACTGGAAGCGTGATTGCCTGTTCTGAAAGACACTCATTAAGAGGGAAACAAGAGGGGCTGGGGATTTAGCTCAGCGGCAAAAGTGCCTGCCTGGCAAGCGCAAGGTCGTGAGTTCGGTTCCTGGTACTGGAGAAAAGCCAAAAAAAAAAAAAAAGAGGGAAACAAGAGGTCGACTTCCATTGTCTTCTTTCTACATTTTCTGATTTGTGGATCCTTTAAATGCATTTTGAACAAATGAATTAAATATTAACATGATCATTATTTGTGTCTTACTTCAAAACAACATGCATCATTGATTCTACACTGTCCAGTGCCATTCATTTCTGTTTATATTTTGGTTTTCAATTGAAATTTTGCTTTGTATTTTTGCAACTAATATGCATGTTTCCACAGAACATATATTTCAGTTAGGTGGCTGGTATACTGAACGGTTTTTGAAAGTCTGGGATGCCTTATGACGCTTTCACATATTTACATTACAAATTTGAAAGTTACTGTACAGAAACTGCCACCCCATTATTAAAAATGCCTCTCTACATCTCTATTATGATGCTGTATAAATTTGTGTGTTTTACTTCTCTAGTGAGCAATGGTGAATGCCTAGTTTTTAGTGTGGTTCTGCTATGTCAGACAGATTTTAAGCAAGTACTTAATGTTGTTATATCACATGCTAAAATATTTAGGAGATTATCATTTTCATATAAGTATTGTTTGCTTGAAGATGATAATATATTCTTTACCTTAGTTTTCATTTTCCTATGACAGATTTTTCATAATATCTAGTGTAGAGAATAAGAAAAAGTACACAATTCCTAAAAAAGAGATTGGCCTTTGATTAAAAACAAAAGGATTTAAATCCGAGAAATATAATTAGGAATGTCACTGAAAAATTCAATCATGATGAAGAGATGGTTGTGCAGGAAAAGGAGGTTAGAAAGTAGCAAGATGATAAGGACAAGCTTTACGGCTGTTGCCAGAAAGTAGTGAAGGTTTCCCTTTAGTTCAGCTTGCCTAAGTGAGGTTCTGTTTCTCTCTAAGAAAGCAGGAATTGAGTTCAGGAAGTTTCCATTCCATTTAGAACCATTAGCTAAAACTAATTTGAGATGGAGAAGCACAGGCTTAAATTTGGTGCACATCGGAAGGAGAGAAGATAGGAAATGGAAACTGCAGATACTGACCCTTCCCACACGTGGCGCACGGCAGGCCGAGTGGCTTTCACCTCTCATGGTCTATAGGTTTTTACCAGTGAAGTAGAATAATAAGGTGGACTGTGCCTGAGTTTTGTGCCTTTGGAAGCTGACATAATAAATAGGCCTCAACACTCCCCAGATTTGGTGACTGATTTACTTCCAACTGCACAAATTCCAAAAAACCTCCATGGGATCAGATCAACAATGTTTAGCCCTAGACTAACCATGACCAATTTTATAAAAATTAAAACAGAAAAATCTTAAAATCAACCCCAAAAAGAGTACATTTTGTACAAAATAGCAACGGTGACTTTTAAATGCTACTTCATTTTATAGAAGAAAAATTGGACCTGAGAAAAAGCTCCCTCGCTGACCGGATACTATGAAATCTCTCCTCTGACTGATTGCTCTCAGTGATAAACTGGATCCTTAGGAAATATTTTCAGGACTGTCTGAATTTAACCTTCTCCACTACTGATTCACTCTGGCACAGTGGTGGCGAACCTATGGCACATGTGCAGCAGTTGTTACCGCTGAAAGCTGTAAAATGTTCACCGTCGCTGCTCTAGGAGATAACTGCAGGGCTTTTTATGAAAGAGTGGGAGGAAGAATTTCAGTGTACAGTTTAGGTGGTTGGCAAGTCTCCGCATGAGGTTCCACACTGTACCTGATTTGAGGAGTTCTCTGTCTCGGATCACTCAGATGGAAAGGAAAGAGGAGCCGTAAGTCACAGTAGCTAAACTGGACATACAGCTTCAATGCTCATCCACAGATGGATGGATAGGAACGTGTGGTATATACATAAGGGGAAATTGTGGAGCCATAATAGGGAATGCAACTATGCATTTGCAGAAAATGGTGGAACTGTAGTCCATCATCTTGCACAAATTAAGCCAAACTCAGAAAGTTAAATAGCACATTATCTCTTATATGAAAAAAGCAAAACATACATAAGTATATACATACACACGTATGATAAAGAAGAGATTGCATAGATGTAGGAGGGGACCCTAGAGGACGGTGAAGGGCTCAGAGTGGAGGGAAGGCAGAGGCAGAGGATGGGACTGAAAATGATCACGGTGTATTACATGCAGGTACCAAATTCCCAACACAAGCCCTGCTGGTCTGTGTTACTAATGTGCACTAATAAATAAACACCCAAAGGAAAACTGTGTGTTTTACAGAGATCTGCATATCTGTGCTCCTTGCAACAGTTTCTCCCATGAAGAAATGGCAACAATTAAAGTTTCCATCACACAATGTGTGAATTCAAAGCATCGCATGTGTGTGCATGTGCATACACACACACACACACACACACACACACACACACACACACACACAGAGTGGACTAGCATCCAGACATCGAAAGGAGAGCAGTCCTCTCATTTGTGACCATGTAGATGGAAATGGAGGTCTTCCATGAAGTGCACCCAGTCAGGTACAGAAAGGCAAGTGCTACATGACCTCACCCCTGGAGTACAAAACACGCACATCAGGGAACTGGGGAGTAGTATGGGGGTAACAGAGTGGGGCAGGGCAGGTCGGGAAGGTTCACCTAAGGGTTTGCAGCCATGGTTACAGAAGAGGAAAGGTTCCTGGAGCGCCGTACAGCATAGATAATGTACAGCATATTTCAATGGGTGGGATGAAAAGCTTTTACATTTTTCACAGAAGAAAGTGATAAGAAACTTAGGAGATGTATGTTTCTCCTGAACTTAACATAATACAACGTATAAATATATAAATATATTACACAATATATAAATAAATAATATTCTGAATCTTAGCAGGATAAAAAAAAATCCTAGCAGGATAAATCCTAGAGGCTTCAAATTCATAATATAGCACCCCATTTTTAGATGTCAAATGAACAAATAAAGAGCTGGAAGAAGGGAGGGGAAAGATGGGTGGGGGAAGATGGGTCGGGGAAGAGAAATAAAAATGGCAAAGGTGTTGGGCTGGGGATATAGCTCAGCAGCACAAGTCCCTGCCTGGCAAGCACAAGGTTCTGAATTTGATTCCCAGCACCAAAAAAAAAAAAAAAGAAAAGAAAAGAAAAGAAAAGAAATTATCCAGATGTGTTGTGTGCATGTACCAATTCCCCACGATAAACGTAATCATTACATACTGCAAACCTGTAACAAAGAAAATAAGTGAAGCAAATTGATAAAACATTTTCCTAAGAAACTGGCAGTTCACAAACTCTATCCTTCCTGAAATTCCTAATCTATTTTTAAATGCTGGGCATGCAAAGCAGAGACAATCTAAGCATTCATTAACCAGCAGGGCATTTTTTGCAGGAGACATCTCAGGAGAACCACAGCAAACTGGGTTGCAAATCTGTATAGGATCAGGAGGCAGTGGCTGGGCTGAAAACCAGACTCCTGAGCCTATTTTCTTAAGTATTATACATTTAGAGGATTCTGAATCCTAGCAGGATAAAAAATAATCCTAGCAAGATAAATATAGAGGCTTCAAATTCATAATATAGGCTAAGGACTGTAAATTTATCTGCAGTAATAATAACCTGTGAAGAACATTCCTGCCTTAGACATTCAAATATTGAAATAGATATCAAGCCAAAGTGCACAAATTAAAATTTTTAGGGTAGTCATTAAAAAAACTTTCAGACAAGCACCTCTGTAAAAAAAAGATAAAGGGGAAAAAGATAAATATAACACATATCATTTGCAATCCCACCTATCACATTATGAAACTTTATCGTATAGATCTTCAAATGAAACATTAAAAATCCTGGGAATGGCGCTTTTTTAGTTACACATCCTTTCACAGAACCAATTTTTCAATTCACTAATCCTGTGTAAGTTGGTCTTAATTTAATTGCTTTGACCTCAGATTTCTATAATGTCTTCATTTCTACAAGTTTTAGATTTGGATTACTCTTGTTTTGCCATGACCTTGAGGTGCACCACTAGGTTACTTATTTGAGATTCCTCCATTTTTGTGATGTAAATGTTTACAGCTGTAATCCTCCCATGTAGAATGGCTTTCATTGTATCGAATTGGTTTCGCCATATGGTGCTGCCACTGTCATTTCAT